GGACATGTCAGCCCGTTTCTTGACCTCAAAGAGTGCAGGACGCACTCACTGGCTGAGCCCGTCGAGCAATGCTGGGGGTTTGCCAGGGGTTGCAGACCAGCACACTATATTTTATAAGCAAGCCGGGTTACCGATGGGTGCGCTCTAAGCACTTTCTTACCAAAGCTGCTGCTCCCAGATTATGATAGTCCCCTGGCTTTTTCAGAGCCATTAAGCACTGATATCCCTCACTAATGCTGCCTGTGGTGAGCTTTGTCCTCAGGCCCTGGCTGCATCCTGAATGCCTCCTAGAGCCCAGCCTGGCATCTGATTGTGCTGGGCATCACGTGCCTTGACGGGGTCCCTGGCAGCCCCCAGGGGGTGGAACTTGCTCCCCAAGAATCAGCCTGGAGGCATTTCCATTGGGAAGGCTGTTTTGTGTCCAAGTCCTGCTGCCTTCCCATCACCTCCCACCCTCCCCCATCCCTTCCTGGTTGCCTGTCTCCCTCGTTAGGTTTCATGTCTCTGGACACTAGATTTTTATGCCATGTCAATTGTGCTGTAATTATGGGTCTGTGCAGCACCTCCCCAGGGAGTCATTCTCAATAATGTATTTCATTCCACTGGGAGTCCCCGTTTCCGCCATTTGGACCCGCCCGGCTGTAGGCTCAGCAACAAGTCAGACATTAGAGCCCATTGCATATTGTGGCAATGTCAGCATGTGACCACTCCCAGCCACCCATGGGCCCCTCCCCAACCTCTCGCCCTCCGGAGCAGAGATGTGTCTGCAGGGAACCCGGGAGTTCCGTAGACGGGGGCTCCGTCGGACCAAGGGCGCCGGGGTGAATTCCGGAGTGGAGAGGCCTCTCCGACACACCCGGCTAGGCGCTGCTGGCTCCCACGTCCCAGTCCAGAGCAATGCCTGGGTGGAGTCTCTGGGAGAGAGGTGCTATCCCTGTGAAACCCCCAAACCCGAGTTCACAGGGCCTGATCCTCCTGCCCTGCACCTCGTGCTGTCGTTTATGCCACATGAAATGCCATTTCGTGCGCACTGGGCCCAGATGTGAATGACGGTGTCAGCCCGGTCCCAGCCTGTCTGACAGCGCCTGGGCCGTCCAAAGCCTTTACCCTGTTACCAGGACACAGGTCCCAGATACCCTGCAGCTTTTACCTGTGTGCTCCCCAGGCCCCCCCTCGGTCACTGCTCTTGTGCGGATGGGGTAAGGTCCCAGGATGTGAACCGTTCGCCTTGCTGGGCTGATCCTCTCTCCCTGCTGCCATATGTTGCCTGTTTAGCTGGGTATTGGTCCAGCGAGACCTCTCTTAAGTGGCCACCCAAGGGACCAGAAAAAGGGATCAGTTGCCTAGCACAGATGGCCTTTAATTAAGGATGAAACAGAAAGGCACTGGAAGCCGTGCAGAGGGGCTTAGAGGCGGGGGCTGCAGACGCTGGGTTGCCTAGTGAAGATGGGGTTCTTAGCGCAGGTGTTGCTGTATCAATTGCAATCCAGCTGCTGACGGTGTCTCTGGGTGCTCTTATGGAGATATCCCATCTCCTAGAACTGGAAGGGACCTTGAAAGGTCATCGAGTCCAGCCCCCTGCCTTCACTAGCAGGACCAAGTACTGATTTTGCCCCAGATCCCCAAGTGGCCCCCTCAAGGATTGAACTCACAACCCTGGGTTTAGCAGGCCAGTGCTCAAACCACTGAGCTATCCCTCCCCTCTTAAACCTTTGACTTACACACAGCCAAGGGGGCTCGTCCGGAGGGTGCATTAGGCTGCTGTACCGCTCCACCCTGTGAAACACGTCGCTGGGTGGTGTGAGCAGTGCCCCCCGCCCCGCTTTTAGCCACCCCGCAGAGCAACACCGATCTAGGACACAGTTGTGGCACAAGGGCAGTTTCTAAAGGAGATAATGACGGGTGGAGCAGGATTGCAGGACATGGGCAGAGCTGTGTGAGGCGTACGGCCTGGCTAGCAGGGGTCTAAAGGGCCAGACGGAGGGGCAGAGGAGTCCTGGTGTAAGAAGGCCATGCGATGCCCCCTCCCGCTAATGACATGTTAAAGCCCCAGTACTTTGCAGGGAGTGAAAATGAGTGAGGTGTTGACTCCCTCTGGGTGGGCCTCGCTGCTCACAGGAAGACCCAGTAGGTGGCTGGCACTTGCCGTGGGTCCCACCTGAGCAGAGGGGGCTGCTCTCTGCCCCCGTCCCCCAGGGCTTCAGGGGCAGAAGGGCGGGCGAGGGGGGGTTCTTTTGTGCCTCTGATGGCTGGGGAAAGCTGATGCTGGAGCCGGATGTGTTTTCCCAGGTTAGGCTGAGGACGTGTTTTGGGAGCTGCGAGGAGGCTGCTGTCATGGTATCACAGAGCATGTGACCAGAGACCCCTCAGGGAGCAGAGCGCAGGCTTGTGTCAGAGGCCACTGACATGGAAATGGATTTGTTTCTGCAAGGAGGAGGGGTCGATGCAGGAACATAAGGCAAAGGAGAAACATCTCGCTGCTCGGTGACTGTTCCAAGCAGAGGCCCTTCCTCACCCAAA